TGCTGCTGCTGCCGTTGCTGCGGCTGCCGTTGCTGCTGCTGCCGTTGCTGCTGCTGCCATTGCTGCTGCTGCTGCATGCGGTGCTGCTGGTGCAGTGCGGGTTTCTATTATTTCTGTTGTCCTTCTGTCTACTTATTTGTTCTGCTGCAGCAGCAACAGCAACAGCAGCAGCAGCAACAGCAGCAGCAGCAACGGGGTAGACGAGGCGTGACAGCACAGCGGCTGAGGGTACCGACGCCCTAAATAAATAAAATAAATCAAATAAACAAAATAAATTAAATAATTAAAATAAAATAAATAAAATACATTAAAGTAGTGTAAAACTAAAAATAAACAGCTAATAACTATGAATAAATAAAACAGAAAAGGCGTCTGCAATTGAAGACATTAATTTATATCAGCACGTATATATATTTATATTTATATTTATATATATTTATATCTATATATATTTATTTATATATTTGTATGTATATATATATAAGTAATATATATGTATATATACATATAATATATATATACATATATGTGTTTATTTTTATTTGTGTTTGTATATATACACGCCCTTATGCACATATATATATTTATCTATCACATAACTAGCTATATATATATATATATTTATTTATATATATATTTATTTATATTTATATATATTTATAATTATTTATTTGTATGTTTAAAAATATTTATTTAAATAAAAATACAACCCCACACTCCGACTGCAATTTGTTTGCAGCAAAAAAATTTATTTCTGAGTCAAACGCCGCTCGTTACTGAAGTTAAAAAAGGAGAGGTCCAGGTACTGCTGCTGCTGCTGCTGCTGCTGCTGCTGTTCCTGCTGCTGCTGCTGGTGCTGCTGCTGTTCCTGCTGCTGGTGCTGGTGGTGGTGGTGCTGCTGCTTTTGTTGTTGTTGTTCGTGCTGCTGCTGTTGCTGCTGCCGCGAAAGACATTTTGCTGCTGCTGTGCCGGTGATGCTGTATTAGGGTTTAGGGGTTGTTAGGGTTCGTTAGGGTTTAGGGTTTAGGGTTTAGGGTTTGCTGGTTTCAGGGCACGGCTGTCTCTTTGTTTCGCGATGAAGACGGAGACGAAGCTTTTGAGTTCTTCTGCGTAGATGCTAAGGGGTAGGACAAAGGGTTTAGGGTTTAGGGTTTAGGGTTTGTGCTGCTTAGGTGGGATCAACGCATTGCAGCTGCACCGCAGACGCCGGTTTCAAGGGTTTAGGGCTCAGGGTTGTTTAGTGTTTAGGACTGTTCAGGGTTTAGGGCTGTTTAGGGTTTAGGGTTTAGGGTTGCCGAGGGTTTAGGGTTTTGTTTTGCTGCAGGCGCCCCCGCAAGGTCGCTGCTACTTCTCTCCAGTGTCTAGGGAGGCGGCCGCTGCCACGCTTGCTGTGAGGTTAGGGTTTAGGGTTTAGGGTTTAGGGTTTAGGGTTTAGGGTTTAGGGTTTAGCAGGGTTTATGTATGCAGAAGAGAGGACTCAGACTCAGACGACCCTCTAAACCCTAAACCCTAAACCCTAAGTGCAGCGGCCTTTGTTGGCGCTGTTGGTGGTGTGGCTGCAAACCCTAAACCCTAAACCCTAAACCCTAAACCCTAATTAAGCCTCGGGCGCAATCTTTGATAGCATTTTCAATTCAAATTAATTCCTCTTTGGCTGCTCTCTTTCCTCTTTCTCTTTCACGTGTAGTTACACCTCAACCACAGCATCTGCTGCAGCAGCAACAGCAGCAGCTAGCTGCTGCAGCTAACCATAGCGGTTGCAGCTACCTGCTGCAACGTCATGTATTCCAGCGAGCTCCAAGTGGGGCAGCTGCAGCTTCTGCTGCTGCTGCTGCTGCTTGTGCCGCTGCTGCTGCTGTTGCTGCAGTTGCTGCTGCAGCGGCTGCTGCTGCTGGAACAGCTAGCGTCCCTCGTATATCTTTTGCTGCTGCTGCAGCA